GGGCTGCACAAACGAAGTGCGACATCGGATTGACACGGGCGACGAACTGCCCAGAAGGCAGAACGCGCGACCCGTAAGCTTGGCTAAACGAAAAGCCATCGACCGTGCCCTGGACGAAATGATCGACACCGGAGTTGTCCGGCGATCTAACAGCCCCTGGGCATTCCCCGTGGTGCTGGTCCCGAAGAAAGACGGCAGCTCACGTCTTTGCGTGGACTACCGCCGTCTGAACGACGTCACACGAAAGGACGCTTACCCGCTACCGAGCATCGACTCGATTCTGTCCAACTTGGGCAGTGCGCGGTACTTCACCACCCTGGACGCTAGCCGAGGCTACCTCCAGGTTCGGATAGAGCCAGGTGACGAGGCAAAAACAGCCTTCTGTTGTCACCGCGGGCTTTTCGAATTCACGCGAATGCCCTTCGGTCTGTGCGGAGCGCCTATGACGTTCCAGCGATTGATCGACCGAGTACTGGGAGAAGCCAAATGGAAACACGCAATGGCCTATCTCGACGACATTGTCGTCTACTCCAACACCTTCGAAGATCACCTACGTCATCTCGAGGACGTACTCGACCGGCTAAAAGTCGCGGGAATGACCCTGAACCCCGAAAAGGCTCAAATAGCCGAAACCCGCATCGCCTTGCTCGGGTTCGAACTGGATCGCGGGCGCCTTGCGCCACACCCCGACAAACTACAGGCAATCCTGGAGTTTCCTGCGCCAACCGACGTGAGCTCCCTCCGTCGCTACCTGGGAATGGTGAACTTCTATCGCCAATTCATCCCAAACTGCGCGACGCTTCAAACACCACTGACACGCCTATTGCGAAAGTCCGTGAGTTGGAGCTGGGGTCCCGAGCAGGAAGCGGCCTATCGCCGCACCTCCCGAGCGCTCGCGGACACAGCTGAACTCAAGCTACCCGACTTGAACAAGCCCTTTCTGATCCAAACAGATGCCAGCAATCTTGGCTTGGGCGCGGTCCTGCTCCAACAGCACGAAGGTGTACTCCGACCGGTGGCCTTCGCCAGCCGCTCGTTGACGCCAGCTGAAAGGAACTACAGCACATGCGAACCAGAGTGCTTGGCCATCGTCTTTGCACTCCGGCGTTTCGACATTTATGTCGACGGGACCACTTTCGTGATCGAAACAGATCACCAAAGCCTAATATGGCTCTCCCGACTTCGCGAACCCGCTGGTCGCTTGGCAAGATGGGCTTTGATGCTGCAAAAATACGACTACGTCGTGCGGTACCGGAAAGGCAGCACAAACGTGGTGGCGGACGCATTCTCACGAGCCCCCGTAGACTGCACACAGATTTCCGCAAAGACCCAGGCCGAGCCGACGACACTCACAGTGCCAGGCGAAGCCGTGACTCAGTCCCAAAGGGAGGCGGCAGATCTGACCACCCCGGACGAGACGATCAACCACCTAGACGCAGTGAGCGCTGTGGGAATCGTGTTCAGCAAAGTAGAGCTTCTGAAAGCCCAGCAGAATGATCCGTTTTGTCGAAAGGTGATCGACGGACTCGTGGAAGAGTCGGACGCCGTGGAGGCGGGCGGTGCGACCGCCGGGCGCAACACTACTGGTATTGTAGTAGGCGCCGAGTGCCGGGACGTATCTGGTATTGGTGCGGGCACGGAGGATTCATATCTGCTGAGCAATGACGGGCTCTTGCTGAGGTACATACCCTCCGAGAACGACTCCGACGAGGCGTTCAAGGTAGTGGTACCCCGCAGTCTGAGAAACGCAATTTTGCGCTACTATCACGACTCGCACTTGGCCGGACACGCGAGCGGCTCCAAGACTTACTCAAAGTTATGTCGCATCGCCACCTGGCCGGGCATGAAACGGGACGTTTTCCGTTATGCCCGCACCTGCCACTCTTGCCAAAGCTTCAAACCGAGAGGCGGCAAACCGCCGGGCCTAATGCAACCGATTCCGAGCCAGCAATCATGGTCTCTGGCAGCCTGCGACGTGGTCGGCCCCCTACCGAGGAGCCCTAAAGGACACCAGTATTTGCTGGTTGTAACTGACCACTTCAGCAAATGGACGGAACTTTTTCCACTCCGTAAGCTGACAGCCCGAGCGATCACGGAGAAGCTCATGGAGGTTTTCACCCGTTTTGGATTCCCCGAAGCTCTTTTGACTGATCGAGCGAGCTACTTCGTCGGGAAGGTATTCGTGGACGCGTGCAAGGCCCTTGGCATAAAGCACAGAACAACCACGCCGTACCACCCGCAGTCGAACATCACGGAGCGATGTAACAGAAACATCAAACCAATGCTGGCCGCCTTCGCGGAAAGGCACCGTGACTGGGACGCTTATATCCCCGAGATCGGGTTCGCACTTCGGACCACTCTCAACCGTTCGACGGGCTTCACCCCCGCTTTCCTCACATTCGGGAGAGAGCTTCCGAACCCCATGGACCGTGTCCTAGGGGCGAGCGCCGGGGTGGACAACGCGCAGCCGACGCAAACGGACCACGCGCGGCAGCTACAAACTCGGATGACGGAAGCCTTCTCGGAGGCGCGTCGCAATCTCGGGGTAGCGCGAGCGAAACAAAAAGCTCAGTACGACCGCTCGCATCGAGATCTCCGCTACAAAGTGGGCGATCTCGTCCTCAGACGCAACCATGTTCTGAGTGATGCCAGCAAAGGCTTCTCGGCCGCTTTGGCTCCGAAGTGGTGTGGCCCGTACCGAGTGCAGGAACTTCTCTCCCCACTCATGTACAAGCTGACAAACTTGCAATCAAGAAAAGTCGGTGGGCCGGTACATGTGTGCGATCTGAAACCCTACCATGAGAGGGAAAACGGGGCCAACGAGCAAACTCAGCCCCCGCAGAAACATGCACACGCAGCGCGAGATAACGCCGACGATGAACAACAGGCGTCTCGCTACAATCTGCGTAGACGGAGGAACTATTATCCGAAGTTTTCGTAGAGGCAGCCCCATTAAGTGGCGAAATGTCACATTAAGGGTAGTGCAAAGCACAATACACCTGCTGCCTTCGCGAACGCGCCAGACACCATTGTTTACTGGCAAGCAGTGACCTAGACACGTCACCTCAGCGTTCGCTCCCGGATGAACCCGTATACGGGAATCCCCCAAACACGGCTTCCGAGGGAAAGGGTACGCGTAACTGCCATTGGTCAGTTATTGCCACCTACGCTCACGTGTGCCACATGTCAACGCAAGAGCGCGGTGCGAGCGTCGTCACAAGCGGTCGGAGACCAAGTGGTCATTCTACCGCAGTACGTTCCGCACCTACGAAGAGGACCTCCAGGCTTTGCTTCGCGCCGTTCGTGAGCTGCTGTCTCCTGGCTGCGGCAGTTCAGCGGCGTCTAGGGACCACGGCTGCGCGTGACTCGTCAGGCGGCACCGCTACTCCAGCCGGCCGCGAGCCAAACCAGCAGCCCGTCGTTTTCGTGTGCCGTCGGGATCGACATCCGGCCAGGGACTGCCGGCTCATCATCTTCGGGACCCCCGCCGCGGTCGGAAAGCTCGCCAACCAGGCATCAGCTGTCCCCGTTCGTCCCGTAACAAGTCCCAAGGGCCCCAGGGACCTGGCGCAGTTCGCCCAGCAGGTCTCGCAGGGCATGCACTACATCGGCGCCGAGGGATGATCCACCGGGACCTGGCCGTCCGGAACGTGCTCGTCGATGAACACGGCTGCTACAAGGTCGCCGACTTCGGCCTCTCCAGGAGCACTGGAACCCCGAGACGGACGTGTACCACCAGAAGCCCAAGGGCGCCCTCCCAGTGCGATGGATGGCTCCGGAGTGCGTGCAACTCCAGGTATTCCCCTTCAAGTTGAGGCTGTGCCTGGGCGTTCGGAATGCTGCTGTGGGACAATCGTCACTTTGGGCTCGACGCCCTACCCCGGCCTGGGCGCTCAGGAGGTGACTTGCTACGTGTGCGACCGTCACGGGATGACGCAGCCGACCGACTGCCGCTGGGAGCTGTGCCGCTGGTGAGGGCCCGCTGGACCGCTGGACTTCTTGGACCATGGACGTATGAACCGGGTTGTTGTGTCCCGTGTGTTGCAGCCGCTGGCGGCCTTTTTTCTTTTTTTATTATTTTAGTCTTGTTGTGTGTTTATGTTGGTCTACCCGTTAGCGGGTGACTATTGGCTAAGGAGGGGGGAGTGTGGGGATTGTGATCCCTCAACATTCTGTCGCGTCAGCGTTTTGGCGCGCCGTGGCGGCCGCGCTGGCGTAGCGAGAGGCGGCGCTGCTTACCACTGTGAGTGGCTTCCTCCTCTCCCCCCTTGGGGCGATTTCCATAACGGACCCCGCACAAAGGAGATCGACGTGTCGCTCCTTGATTGGCCACTTCGCCCCCGCCGTTATCTTAAAACCAGCGGACAGCAGTCTCGCTTCTCTCTTCTTCCTGGGATTCGGCGGCGGCGACAACGGGGAACCTTCCGGCGCACCGGTGAGCGTTTACCCCGTCCTTTGTACATTTGTGAACGACCGTTCGGCCGTGGGCGATCTCCACACCGACGGCGTTCACCAGCTTATAGCCGCTGTTGTTTTTGTTGTAATTTTGTTTCATTGTAAATAAACAGTTTATCACCGTTACCAACGTGACTGGTGTCTGTTTGCGCTCAACGAGCTGCATGCCACGCGAGTACGAACCCGCTTCGCGGTAGAGCGTCTCGCCGCGAACGTGGAACTCCCAAAGGCAGTGGCCCTAAGGAGAACCACAGTATAAACGCTAGTGCCCGAACTTTGATAACTCTCAGTGGTTTTTATTTGACACGCTACCAGTTACAGTCATAAAATAGGTTAAAAAGAACACTTTGGTACGCGTCTTGTTTTTTTTTCTCGCTAAACATTAAAAAAAAAAAACTGTTAACCATCTTTTTTTTTTAAGCGAGAAACTCGCTATTTCCAACGCTTCACATCTCTATTGCAATCGGCCAAATGCATTTATCGTTTTGTTTCACCGTACAATAAGCACAGCGACTAATGGATAACTTTTTTTCTTTGATTCGCAGGCATTCTTCTGTGTGGGAAGTGCGCCTGGTTTTATCAATGTTCTCCAGTTTCAAGAACTTTCAGATACCTCATTCATGCCCCACCGAACTACTGACAACGGAGAAGAGGTTGTGGCAATTCTGTACACGTCAGGATCAACGGGTCTTCCGAAGGGCGTGGAAATATCGCACAAGGCGTACTGTACCGCGTTTCACACCTTCAGGTATGCGCACTGAATAGAGTGTTAAAAAACTAACCAGTTTTTAGAAGACACAAAGTGTATTAAGTCATACCAGCAGCCTTTTTGTTTGCTTCACTATTTAAGTACGGAAGCAGGCGCATTCAGAATATATATTTTTTTCAAAGTCTAGTAAAAAAAGACCCAGGAGTATATTGTATGTTTTCCTTAAAGCAGCCTTAAGTTAAAAATATCTCTTTTGGCCTGATCGACCGGCAACTTATTTTATTCATATAGGTAGTGGTATATTGAAACTGATCACTTGCCTGAAATGCAAGGTGAATTATAGCAACTAAATTTCACCCTGCTTTAACGATTTCATAACGCTGTGCAGCCGTGGGGGAAGCCGTAACTTTAAATATTATCTCACGAGATCAATCGCATAACTCAAGCCTTCTAAAGCACGTCACATCTAAAGATTAAAGCATGTAAAACAAACATAGGTACCGTATTTTTATGTGCTGTTTGTTCGTTTCTTTGTTTATTTGAGTTTTGCACGTTTTATGAGCATATTTATTCTAAAGAAAATTTCGTTTCGCAAAGAAGGTGAAGAACACGACGGGGAATTGGTGCGCAGGACCATACAGCGAGGTTCCACGTACTGGACCTTCGTGCGTAATTTGTTTGTGTGCTCTATCATCTTGCTTTGTCCTGTACTGTGTTGTCCTCTCTGCTTCCGACCGGATTACTATATATTACTTTATACAACTGTATTATTTGAAATTAAAATATTACTTTGCATTAACATTATATTAGATTATACGAAGAGTTTAAAAATAACTTCCGGGTGGCAAAGAAACCTTTTCTTGATTTTTTAGGCGGCTGTATTTATCATTCTTGAGTTGATATACACGGATTTTTCTGAATTTCAGGTCTGCTGTCGCTTGCACTGAAGAGGACGTTTTCCTTTGCTGGAATCCTTTCACCCATGGGGCGGGTTTTGCGGTAGCCATGTTTTGCATGTTTCTAGGAGCAAAATTAGTCATAACCGATCCTTTGATTCCGTTCAAAGCTTTCCTGGAGGTTCTCAAGACCCATAAGGTAAGAAATATTATGTGAAAAAAAGAATGAAGACAATTTATTAGTATAAATTGTCTGTGACCGGCCGCATAAATTTTCCTCGAAGGAGCAGCCCGGCTCAATCGCATGATAAATTTGAGCGTAAAACTACATTTTCTATTAAATAACTGCTGAATTTTTATTATTGCCTCAATACACTAAGCTACTTGACGCTGTCAATTTTCTTTTTAAGGTAGTAAATCCTGAAAAACTGGCCGTAAGGGCAGTATCATCCGTGCTTTCTCGTTTTCGTTAATGTTTTTTTTTTTAACGTAAAAGTTTTGTGTCTTTTGACACTGAGTATGTGTTTAAATGCGTGAACGCATCTATAAAAACGTATTTATGGTACAACCAAACTCGCGGTCCACGTGCTCTTTATTATTTATTTATGCAGTATTTACCATCAGACCAGGATTATACTATATAAAACAAATCTGCAAAAATATAATTATATCCACGAAATAAAGACCCCAATCTAAAAAAAAAAAAAAAATGGGTATGAAAAGAATCAAATAAAAACACTTAGAAACCACTATAAAAATTGACTGTAGATATGACAGCTTAAGTGGACAGCAGGTCGACATCATAAAATTCTTGCATGCTCCGCACAAAAAAACGAACACGTTTATAAAGGTGGCTGACCTTGACAATGATGTAGTAACAGAATGACGGAACATTCAGACACAGACGCACGAGAGGAATGAATAAAGATGCCCGAAACCCATAAATAATAGAATAAAACTGTACTGCATTATAGTCAATATAATTATGTCATGATCCAAATGATATTCCCCAACAAGATTATTAAATTTTAAGAACTATTCCCATGCGAACTTGACACTAACTTCCATTCAGTGAAGAACAGTGACCGCCTGATAATCGAACTGTTCTCCGTAGTTAGTTCTTATTGATGGTGCCTTTCTGCCACGTTAGCTGGTGCAGTTGAGCTGCGGCCTGATTTCTATATTAGATGAAACCACTTAAACAAAGACAACTGATGTCAGTCACCTTTTTTATTTAGTTCATTACGCCATTTCTTTGGAAACACCCGTAGCCTACCACGAAGGTTGCGTTGATAACACGTTGCTACGTTTATAGTAATGTCTACCTAAATTTAATACTGCTCACTCTCAAGCATGCGAATTGTCAAAAACACAGAAGTCGAAGATCGCCGTATATTTTCAGTCAATTCCGAACTCTCCCTCAAATTTGCAAATATCGGCATGCTCGTCGAACTCGCGGAATACCCAGATTAAAACGAGTACAACTCTTGCCCTCAACCATTTCGTATACTGAAACACAAACGCGTGCTACTCAACGAACTTACCAGAAGTGTTCTCGGAAAAAAACAAGTGAGCGCCAGATATTAAGATACACTTTTATACATCCAAAAACTCTAGGTTAGTTTTTTTTTTCTTTTTTCTTTTTTTAAACAGAAGTTTGGTATCTACGAGAGAGAAAGTTCAGCATTAATTTTTAGGTTCGTCGAACTAAAAATTGACGCTGACCTTTATCTCTCTCTCTCTTCATCTTAGCATATTTTTGTCGCACTTACTTTGTATTTAGGTTCAAAATGAAGATTATTAATATTATTAATAAAACAAATTTTTGGTTCTCATCAAATTTTTTTTTACTTTAGCGAAACTAATCCCACACGCTCGTACTAATTTTACCATGGTGATTTAAATAAAAAAAAGGTTCTCTGATATTATTTTTTTTCTATTTATCGTTTGTCTATCATTTCCCAATTTCCATTGACATTTATCTTGTATTTATAGTAATCAAGGTTCAAGCGAGAAATGTTTATATCACCATTTTTAGAAACGCATCTAGGAACAATATCACCCTTTTCTAAATGATATGGTTTTAATAGTTTATACATATTAATTTAATATAATGAATCTGTTTCAAATAAAACAAATTTATTTGACCTAAATTTGAAACAAAATCATATATTTTTTTTTGTCCTTCTCATGAGTTTGCATCTACTACAACGCCAAAATAAGTAATAACTCTTAATTTGTTTCTTATTATCACGTTTGTACACAACAGACTTCAAAAAATTGTTAACAAGGGCGGAACTGATTGAATACTCCGACTGTCATGCATTAGCCGGTCGGATTTCTTCATCCGGGTTACCGCCTGCTGAAACTGCAATGCTTCCTTCTACCAACCAAAATAAAAATTACTAAGAAAAAAAAAATAAGCGAGAGTCAGGAAACTTCGTCCCTCATTTACTTTATTCGTACGTTACAGAGCTTCAAAGGGAACGCTCATTTCTAGGGTTGAACCTTGCTTGCCTCATATCTGTTGTTGCCAATTACATGAATTTAATTCGCTTTGGGAAACTAATTTAATGGTTACTTAAATTGTTTACGTTCTGAATTCCGAAATGTGAATAATCTTTGTGTCCATCCAACTTACAATCCATAAACAAATACTCTAATCCACTTGTTAAGCCACTGCAGATGAACGTAGCTCTATTTCAGTTCGGAATTATTAAACGGCAACTCCGCTTAATTTTTGCTCTTGACAAAAAAGAAACACCAATGCAGTCCTTGTCAGTATCGCTTAGAAAGTACATACGTCAAACATTACGATGTAGTTGCGTCTAAATGTTTCTTAAACGGTCGGGCAAACTTTGCAACTCGCGAAGTTGTCGAAATCGGCTGACTCGAGCGGGCGAATTCAGGCGCAACCAACAGCGCAGACAAGGCTACGGCATGGGCGTAGCCGACATTGAGCTTAACGTCATCACCATTGCCCCTTTTTGCTTGTTTTTACTTCTCCGGGTGAGCGTAGCGCATGACGTCAGCAACGGTTCCTCTCGGCGTTCAGCGGTGTCCCCATGATTGCCGTAACGCGCCTGCGCTGCGCGCTTCATGGGAGCCGTCCGGAAGCCCCGCCGTGGTCTCGCCGTTACCGCCGCTTCCCGCGTCACAACCGCCGCTGTCGTCTAACCGCTTGTGATTACTGTTTCTCAGAGTTTCGTCCACACTACGAAGACCACGCGCGCAGACTTATGCCGCAGTTGTGCAGACGTCGTCGAATGTCGTAGATACCAAAACGTTGTAAAGAGTGCTGTGCAGACGACACTTGCGCTTGGCAGACGCCCGCCCGAATCCCTCTCGTCGTTGCGTAGAGGATCACGTGACATCTTGTACCTCGTGATGGCCATGTTCTTAGCGGCCTGAGGGCAATGTTGCCGTACGGAGCCGAAGTTTCGCTTTCGGTTTCCGCTCGTATTCGAAGGGGCGGTGCAACGATTTTACGATTAAAAAAATTCGCATCTCGTCACTATTACGTTGTTTATCGTGTCCCGGAGGATAGACAAAACACCTCTTTCATTAAAAATGTCGCGATTCCGCTGCATATTCGCACAGCAAAATCGAGCCCTTCCCCCCCCCCCCCCCCCCCCCCCTAGAGTTCCAAGTGGCAGCCGAAGGAACTACGGCGAAAAGATTACATGACCTTGCTCGGCTCTAAACTGCAACATAACTCCCGCTCATGTGACCGGAGAGAAGGAGAGGAAGCGTCCTCCGAGATAGCAATCGGGAAGCTACACGGCAGTCAGATTGACGTCACTTAGAAGGGGGACCAGGTGTCACCCTGAAGGCTGGGAGTGAGTTGAGGGGTGCCCGAAATGCCAATCTTTATCTTTTTTTTTACGCAACAACTAGGACACGCAAGCGAAATCTGTGTTCTGTTCTCTACTTAAAAAGTGTCAGAGGGCAACTTCCAGAAATCTTTGACCGAAGTCCGGAAATCGTTGCACCCCGCCCTTAAAATTAGATGTAAAAATATGTTCAACCCATTTTCCGAGAAGCAAACAACGTAATGTCTTTTACTGGGGATTTTTAATAGGAAATCACTCATTATAAATAAATCTTCGGAATTGACCGGAGTGGCCCCTTAAGATAACAATATTTATTGCCAGGACTTCCGGCAAATAAATTCATATTTTTGGCACCGGAAAGTTGCATTCATTCTACACGCAGTATCTAAGAGGCACTTAAAATATGGCGTTAACTTTTTTTCCTCTTCTTTTTATCTCGCAGGTGTCTCTTTTTATTGGCATTGCGGGTTGGATGCAGTATATTGCCAAAGAAGTCAGAAGAAACAACGCTGGTGTGCCTCGTGTAAAAAAAATAATGATGGGTGGTTCAGTGATCCCGACATCGCTTGCACGGGAGATTTGTGAAATCTTCGACGTAGAATCGCTCCTCAATATCTACGCCATGACTGAAACGTTTGGCATAGTGTGCAGCTCACCTGTTGGACAAATTACCTCCGACAACAGTGGAGTTCCTCTTGCCGGTATAAAAATCAAGGTATGCCTGAAACTTATCGCATTGTACACGTTTTCTTTTAGAGCGCAGCTCTTAGGGGCCCGTTCCCGGCTTGAGCGGCGTCGCCGTCGGCGTAACCAAGGTCATCCCAAAGTCACGTGACCCCCAAGGTCACGTGACCCCTCCCAAGGTCACCCCAAGGTCACGTGACCCCTCTGAAGGTCATCTCAAGGTCACGTGACCCTTTGAAGGTCACGTGACCCTTCTGAGGTCACGTGACCCCGAGGTCACGTGGTTTCCTCCCCAAGGTCACGTGACCCCTCCCAAGGTCATCTCAAGGTCACGTGACCCCCACGTGACCTCGGGGTCCCTTGACCCCCTGGGGTCACGTGACCTTGAGGGGACCCCCATGTGACACCCAAGGTCACGTGACCCCCAGGTCACGCCTCCCCGAGGTCACGTGAGACCCCCCTCCCCGAAGTCACGTGACCCCCCCCCCCCCCCCGAGGTCACGTGACCCCCCCCCCGGAGCATATTAAAGAATGAGGGGAGGAGGAGGAGAAGGAGGAGGGGTCTACCCTCCCCTCAAGTACCCTTCACTCCTCCTCAAGAGCTGCGCTCCAATTCGGCGTTACAGGGAGTTGTAAACGGCTTTCATTTTTGTTACGTTTAATATCTGCCATAACAGTGTAGTGCTCTGTATATTACTCATTGACGAAGATCAGCAAGCAAACGATTTACAAGCAGCAACGAATTATTTTCTGGATAAGAGGTGCGATAAAAAAATTCTGAGATAAATTTTGTAGCTTAAAAAAAGAAAGTTATCTGCGCGCAGCACTCAAAGGCAGGGATCTTTGTGTCTCATTCTGCCAAAGGGCCTCATTCTGTGAACATTTGGAGCTGTGCTACACGAGCATTTTGCGACCATGCGCCAGGATTTATTGCGATTTTACCATAGACTTCAAACCAGATCAAGAGAGAACACAATTCTGCTTGAAACTTGTGCGAATTCATATCAACTGTTTCTGTTCTACCTTTGAGGAGTTTGACGCAACATTGATATTTGCTCTCGCTTGGGTTTGCAGCCGATAGTGATAACGCCATTGCGCCCGTGCACGTGGTCAGAAGAACATGTATGGCGCAGCTCCAAACGATCACATTACCCTTCATCATGAGACACAAAGATTTTTGCCTTTAAATTGCCGGCTTCTAACTCCGATTCCCACAAACCCTGTCTCCGGATGAATATGACACAGAAATACTTCGCTCTCGGCAAAAGGGTTTATTCACTCACTTATTGCCGGGGGGTTTCGGGATGGGGGAACGGACATCAGTGAGGCCGGGGGGAAGTCTGCTGCCGCTGCAGCTGCTCCAGGTCCCAGCGGTAGTAGTCCACCGCGTCATGGGGACGTCGTCATGCAAGGTCGCCGTCCGGTCCGTTCGTCGAGTCGGCCAGTCAACGTCTAGTAACCGCCTACCACGAGAGATCACAGAGCGTTTCCAACTGTTTGACCGGGGTCATGTGGTTTGTGTGCCGCGTTTTGCAACAGGATCTGCGAGGAGCTGACGAAAGCGTTGATCGTCTGCGAGTGTCTCTGCCTTTCCGCCTGCTTTGCTTCTCGCCACGCAACAAGGCAGCGTTTGCGCACTTGCGATCAATTGGCGCGAGAGGTGTGAGCAAATAAATTGCAAACACACTTCATTGTTTCAAATGGACTCTCTCTTCAATCGAGGCTCTCTATAGAACAGACCGACACACTGACGCAGCGGTCGATCTGAGTCAAAGGTTTTGCAGTATTTGGATAGTCCAATCTATGGTCCCTGTAAAAGAAATGGTCACGTAAAGCAATATTATAATTATTTTTGAAGTTTATGGAAAAAAGGATAATGCTGAAAATCGGCAAATATATAGGCGAATTGCGAGCGTTTCAGGACTACCCGATAGAGTTCGCCGGCTAGCTGGAGAAATATCGTCATGCTTTAAACACCCCGCGTAAGGCTTTGGTGTCTGAAACACCAGGGACAGGTTTTTAAAAATTTGATGCTGTACAGCAGCAGATCTTTGATGTTTTCGTTCACTTCGTTTACCAAGCTTTTCAAGAGCAGATACAATTTTTGTTTCTCAGTTCACAATGAGTGCTATCTAACCATGTTTTAAGCATTCGAACCTGCTTTTGAATCATCATTTCGCCCATTGCATTTATTAGTTTATTCATTTTGCAAAATTTTCGGTGACTTTTACGGCTTTGCATGATTAAAGATTTGTTGTTGAAAAAAATGCTGTCAAGGACCGGACCGGACTTCGGAAGTTTGATGGGCCATTCTATTGACTTAAATGGGAGAATTACCAAGCACACACCGAAGACATGAACAATGTCACAGAGCGACGTCAAGTTTCACTAATCCACATAGGGGGAACACTCATGCGCGACTAGGAAGTAATCATTTTTGCGGGACCAATTCGTGAACGGTACTTGCTTGCTGAATGCTGCATATATTAGGGGCGAAGCCCCTTAGGGTCTAGCCATGTCGGTCCGTCCGTCCGTCCCATTTGTCTTCCTAAAAAAAGAAGAAACTTTCGTGCAGTCGACAGGACTCGAACCTGTGCGGGGAGACCCTAATGGATTTCTAGTCCATCGCCTGAACCATTCGGCCACGACCGCGGGCCGAGTAGGGGGCTCTGAGATGTGGTAGTAACTCAAGAGCTGGGGATTCTTGGATGAAACGTTGCATGTAGCCGCTCAACGTCTATACAAAAGGGCGCGCTGAAGTCGAATGCGTACATAATTGCGTTGAACTTTGCATGCATCGGCTTAACGTTTATAGACGAGAGTGCGCTGCGGTCAATTGGATGTATCCGCTAAAAGAACCACTGGCTCTGCATTTCACCGACCATAAAGCTGTAATAATAAAGTCGAAACGCAACTCGGAACTCAGCACTACCTATGAGCAATAAAAAAAAAATCAACAACATCAGCACTACCTATAAACAAAATCAGTATCATCAGCGCCACCAGAGCTTCGCCCCAATCAACATCATCCACCACGTGGAGATGCGGTCATTTTTTTAATCTTGTTTCCTCTTGTGCGAAGTAGTGCTTGGTCATTGGGTTGCCTTGAAATTCATTAGTACTATTCCTATTATTTGCAACTTTCACGCCGTGAAAATACCCTTTATTCAACTAGCTGGGTGAACTAGCTGGGTGAAAATCGGACAATTCATTAACACAGGTTGTTACAACCTTTTGACTATTTTCGGAAACGGCGGCGCGGCTGTTTCCTGTAACAAATTCTATTCTACAATAATAAGGGAATTGATGGCCTAATATTATGTTCCAGGTTATAGACATAACCAGCGGAGAATCTCTCGGCCCGTTTTGTAATGGCGAGATTCTGGTTCACACCCGAGGGGTCATGAAGGGCTACTTTGGCCGTCCCGAAGCTACTGCTGAAGCCTTGAGCAATGACGGATGGTTGCGCACAGGTATCACGTGCTTGTATTTTTTTTTTCAGTCAAAATTACAATAATATAGGATTCTCGGTCAGACCCGAATATTTCTTTTGCTGGTAAATAGTCATGGATCTGGAGTGTTATTATGCACTTCCTGTTGTTCACTAACCCATAGTGCGTCCGGTCAGACCTCTATATATCGCTATAAATCCGTATTGTAAAACATTTGGACATGAAATGGGCCGAAGATTAATCATATAACCAGTTTCAAAACTCGGCGGTTCGGTGTTCAGCCAACAATGTTGACAAAGATATCCCGGACTTCATTAATACATAAAGTTTTCCCATGACGTCACAATTCAGTACAATCCTACTTGGTTTGCCATCGCTGTGCGCTAGATGTGCGCATGGACGGGTGCTGGAGCGCATTTCTAGACACTCATCTACGATTCTTGAGCAATGGAACGGGGCATTCTCCTCTTTCTGTGTTGTTATGCATATGAAGTTGAACGATAGTCGTTGTGCATTCTCTAACGCTTATGCGCTCAATGGAGCGAGCCTTCGTTACAAAACAAATCCTGATTTAGGCAAGTTATCGTTTTCGGCTTGTGTTCGAGCAGCTCACGAGGCAGCTAACCCTGCACAACACCTGCCGCAAATCGCCGCCTTGACAACCCCGACGATGGTTGAGGGGTGACTACTCTGGTGAGGCATCGATTCAAGCTCCGGAGAGCGTTAAACCATTCAATTACACCTGTTTTTGTAGTCTTCTTATATTAAAGGAATGGTTTGATGAGTGCGTTTAGTGAAATTTCAGCTCAAATACAATTCGAATCGAACCATGCCAAATAGTGGGCTAAAATTAAAGTTCAAGTTAAGTTTAAGTTAAATATTGAATACGAAAATTCCTATTTGCAATGCACAAAACTAAACAAAAAGCGCGTACAAAAAATCCATTTGCGTACCTTTCTTACTGTGAGCCCACTGAACAAAGAGCGATAAATACTGACAAGATTGCGTTTTGTTTTTCAGGAGATTTAGGTTACTATGACGCTGAAGGTCGGATCCATGTTACTGAGAGATTGAAAGAGATGATAAAATGCATGGATAATGTCGTCACCCCTGCTGAGCTGGAAGAAATTTTAACCACCCACGAGGCTGTCGCAGATGCCGTAGTTGTGGGAGTTCCAAGCTTGACGTATGGCGAGGCTCCAACAGCCTGTGTCGTTGTCAAAGACGGTTTCGAGAAAAACCTTGAGAGTCTGGCGATAGAACTTAAGGAACTCATTGCTGGTATATGTCATGTTCCTGATATTCCAACTTTGCTTTTGGTGTGATATGTGCGTGTCTAACTTGCACAATGCAAAGCTTAACTTTTAAGGATAACGCACAAATTTGGTTTTGGGAAAAGCGCCCTATGAGCTCTAATCATTAATGCAAAATGATAACTAGAAACGTCTAGGGTGCCTTTCCCTCTGCCACTTTACCATCGCTCCCCCTCCTTCTCTCCCCCCCCCCCCCTAGCGAAAACTAATACGTTTAAAATGTGCCACATTATAATTTCAATGTACGTGAAGTACACTTCATAATTGTAAATACACAAAACGTAGAAGGAAAATACACACTTCTTTTTTTCTTTACTTCGTACTAAAATATATTTCTAAATATATTTTAGAATACCTTTATTTAAACTGCATTTGAAGTTTTCTTCATTCGTTCTGAAATATGTAAATACTAAATTAGTAGGCACAAAAAACCTTTCACATAGATTTCTTAAAATATTTATTTATTTCATGCAAAATATACTCCAACCCTAATAAAAATGCCGCGATCAAATATTCGTGCGGAATACTCTTAAAATACATGGAAATCGTAAATACTGTTGTGTTTTACTCTAAGTATCTTTTGACTGCAATACTTAGGTAGTTGGACTTAAACTGCCAAATTATTGAAAAGCTCGCCTATCAGAATTTCACTTCAAGCAGATATGGAGTACACTGAATTGCCCAAATACAACATTTGATTAGTTTGTCAATTGAGTTCTGCAGCATCACACTGATAAATCAAACCAGTTTATGTTATTGTCTCCTTTTTTCTATCAAGAACAGAGCTGATGAGTTTCTTGCACACCAATCACAAACGGTGTTCGGGAACTACAACCACAACACTTGCTGATGCTGGAAAGCTTCAGCAAGTGCAGTGAGCAGACATGTTTGGCGTGGTTGTGTTAGCACAATGTTAGTTCACTGAATGTGTATGCTCACCATTGTACGCATGATGTGAGTGACTAATATCACCATATTCAATAGTCAACTAGTAATGAAAAGAAAATTATGTGTTTTAAAGTGAAGAAACTGCCTTGACTCGCTTAGTCCTGAGTGGTGCTATGCAGAGAAGCAATAACATTTCATCTAGGAGTCGTTTTTTGTGGGTATTGTTTTAGCGACTGCGCCGAATTATTATTAGTTCTACTAATGCTCTTCTAAAAGAGATATCGTCCACGAACTTCAGAACACTGCTTCCCTTTTGAAAGACTCCCGAGGAGAAGATCGAGTACTTGGAACCTTAATAAGTGCAGAGCTGGTCACCGGCCAAATGATTGCCTTTAATATGTAGGCTATATAGGGCTCTAGAGCAGTCAAAGGGACTGTGATTCAGGTGTTCAGTGCGTGTATGGTGTTTTTGTTTTGCCTTCAGATATCACAGGGACACCATTTACAAACAAAATTCAAAATATAAAAAATGAAAAAAAAAATGTTGTGGTTGGTTTTTAATACGCAAGCGTCATTTGAGGGGGAAGGAATTATATTTTTGGTATATATAAATATTTTCTGACTAATATTTACAATATATTTTGAATACCTTACGCATGTATTTCGAATGCGGACAAAATAATACAGAATAAATACAAAATGAATATTCATACTCAATACATTTCAACTTCGTTTCAAGTACGGCCTCTTTTTGCTCAGAGCCCGCCTCTACTCACCTATATTTTCCTAACTCTCCTTTTCCTTTCCACCCCTCCCTCTATCTCCCCATCCCTCTCCAGTAGGCACAGGATCTTACAAAAATAACTCCATACCCAGAATAAAATATTTGAAGTGAAAAAGAACGCACTTTTAGAAAACGCCGGTAGTCATACCGAGGCCACCTTTATCGTGTGAATTAGTACATTATTTTAATTGTTTTGTGCAGTCATTGCTTGTAAGAAGCTACGTGAAGCTTTCTGGACATGAGAAAAGTAACTGCATGGTTTTTATTATGCATAAAAATATTTAATGAGGAGTGAGGTAAGATTCACAAGTGGCTGTCGTGATAATATTGCGAACGAAGAGGGAAGGGAGCGGTTATTAAATTTATTGCATTGAATTTAGGGGAAGGGAAAAAGAAAGGAACCTGACGAAAAAAAATTACACCATCTTCCCGAGGGGAACCATGGGGTGATGCGGAGCATCGCGGATCGTTATTAACGGTGTTATTAACGGTGTTAGTAACGTTGTTTAACTTCACGGTCCCGAACCTCAGGTTCTGCTGCTCGACGTTCACGAACCAACGCGGCTTCCCGTTCGCAAAGGTCGGGTTCCGCCGCTCGCTTCGTACGTTTACGTTGAACTTCACGGTCCCGAACATCAGGTTCTGCTGCTCGACGTTCTCGAACCGCCGCTGCTTCACGTTGTCGTAGTTCAGCATCCGCCGCTCGACGTTGACGAATGGACGCCGCTTCTCGTTGCCGTAGTTCAGGGTCTGCCGCTCGCTTCAAGCGTTTGCGCTCAGCGTCGCGTGCCCTTCGCTGCGCAGCTTTGTCTTCAGTGGACGTAGCGTTGCTGGTAGTTTGTGGGGTGGTGCTGACGCTTGCTTGCGCCAACCCAGTAACTGACGGGACTGTTGCTTCCATCACACTTCATCGCAAGGACGGAGTGAAGTGGAGTCAACAGCGGGTGAACTGAACGAGCGCAGCACGCTACCAGTGCTTATATTCACACTTTGAAGGAGAGGAGACTGGAGGAGGAGAGTTGCGCATGCGCGCGCGGTGTGAGTAGTAGCGAACGCACGCGAAGTACACGCAGCTGGTAGAGAGAGAGAGCGGAGAGAGTCACGCGCAGCTGTTGGAGAGAGGGAAGGAGGAGAGTTGGGCATGCGCAGTGTGAGTGCGGACTACGACGCCGCGGGACATAGACCCGAGCAAGAGGTGCTCCGCATCTAAAATTTCACCGCTACTGGCCAAATTTTTCGCCAGCTCTCTTTCTTTTCCCCTCCCCTAACATTAATTCAATAAATTCAATAATTGATTATTGAATATATTGAATTAATGTTAGGGGAAGGGGAAAAGAAAGAGAGCTGGCAAAAAAATTGGGCAGAAGCGGCGAACGTTTTCGTCACTTCTGGCCAATATATATATATCTATATATATATATATATAATGTGAACGAAGAGGGGGGATTGTGGTTATTGAATTTTTGTAGTAAAGTATGGGGGAAAAAGTTAAAGGACACATGCAAAGGAAAAAAAAATTTTTTTTAGACAGCTTAGATGGAAAAAGGATGTCATAAAACGATTTTACAACGAAGAAACAAAATTTTTAGAGCTATATTTACGGCGCTATACGAATTTGTAGTTGGCGCTCGCGGGAGCCGCCGCTGGTCACGTGGTAGGCCCGCGCGCCGCCGCGCTGCGTCGCCGCCGCACGCTGAGCGTTGTGCGAACGCCGCTTCAACGCGTTTCTCCACGCCGCCGTCGCCGTCGCCGCACAAGTTCATCTGCTTCGGGGCGCCGCCGCCGTCGTCTGACCGGCGCACAGGTCTATCACGTGACGTCTGCTTGCGCTTTTTCAGGAGTTTCCTTTGGGCTCTAAAAGTTACTTATTCGTCTTGGTTTTTTGTTATACTTCAAACAAAGATGAATAAGTTACTTTTCGAGGCTATAGGAAGCTTCCGAAAGAGCGCAAGCACCACGTGATAAATAAAGACCAGTCACGTGATAAATACAGACCACTTTTCCGCGGTGCCCGCGGGCGCCAACTACAAATTCGTTTTGCGCCGTAAATATAGCTCTAAAATTTTTTTTTCTTCGTTGTAAAATCGTTTTATGGCGTCCTTTTTCCATCTAAGCCGTTTAAAAAAAATGTTTTTTTACTTTGCATGTGTCCTTTAAGCTGCGAAAAAAATTATATACAGTGTGTTTTCTTTTTAAGCTTCACAGATATGTTTAGAAGAAGCCGTGAAAGTTGCACTTATACGGTTTCTGCAAGTGAGTTCTACGGCCACTAGTACATTATGTGGGTGGCTTATTTTTGCAATATGTTGAAAAATTAAGTAAAATTTCTTAATTAAGTTTTTATAAGTGATATATACATGATTACAGTTAGAAACTTACTGAGCGTCATTAAAAACTACTATATCAACTCTTTTCAGAACGACTTGAAGCTCCTGGGAATCTCGGGGGTGAGCCAAACGCGGTTCATACGATTATCATCGCGTTCCGCCACTGCTAGCTTTACGCCTGCTTCACGAGTAGTAACTTTGGCGCGCCCGCGAGATTCCCACGAGCTTCAAGTCGTTCTAAAAAGAGTTGATTTAGTAGATTTTGATGACGCTCAGCAAGTTTTTAATTGGAGCCATACGCCCATTTTCACTATATTAAAATTTGATTAACAAATTGTAATTATTAGCTGACTTATTGCGAAGATTAGCCGCGCAAATAATGTCCCCCTGGCCATTTAACTCACCAGCACAAACCGGTTAAATGTAACTTTCATGGCTCTCTTTAAACTAATTTGTAGTGTAGTGGTTAGTAATGTAGTGGTTAGCACACCCGACCGGACATTGGGAGGCCCAGTGTTAAAATCCTGGCTCCGCCAATTTTTGGCTTTCGGCGGGTTCCTAGAAACTTTAATTCTTTGATTCATTGGATTAAGTACGGTTCATTCATCTGCACATATTCGTTCATATCCTCCTCGGAGACCACGTACGATGGTGTGAAGTGCCCGTGTTGTATACTCAATAACGTGGCTCTTGATTCTCGCAGATGATGATTATACCGTGTCTCTAAAAAAGCTCATAAACAAAGAATACTACATGTACACGGGGCGAGACAAACAGTGGGAGGATTTCTGGAGCACAAACGAGCACGTACCACGTGACACTAAGCGTCGTACCGCGTTCCACGCGGCGGCGTGTGTTTCCAGAACACCTCCGATTGGATACACTTCGTTTCTTGTGCATTAATAAGACAGGTAGGAAACGCCAGAAAGCCAAGGTGGAGTAGTGTAGTGGTTAGCACACCCGACCGGACATTGGGAGGCCCAGGGTTCAAATCCTGGCTCCGCCAATTTTTGGCTTTCGGCGGGTTCCTGGAAACTTTAATTCTTTGATTCATTGGATTAAGTACGGTTCATTCATCTGCACATATTCGTTCATATATATATATGTATATATATATATATAAGAAGAAAAGAACCCTCACTGAAAACAGCAACAACGGACGATTTAATCTTCGACGTTTCGGCCGTTGTTGCTGTTTTTACTAAGGGTTTCTTTTCATCATTCATACCCACGCCTTCGACCCCCCGCCACCATGCCCGTTGTATATATATATATATATAAAACACAGCGCATATTAGTTAATCGTTTTTATTTGACAGAGCTATTTTGTTTATCAGATGATTTCAAAGTATTAAATAAGAATTGGAAGGTACAAATAACAATTTTCAAAAAGGTAAAGTGTAAACAAGAACATAAACATGAACGCACAAAGTATAAAAAGGAAGAAACACAAGCAGTGGTGTGTTGGTTCCTTTCTATGTTTGCTGTGTTCGTGTTTATGTTCTAGCTGACATTTATACCTAACATGTACCAACTAGCCCAACTTGGGACTAAATTTAAAAACGGTTCTAACAAAAGGAACTGGAAGTACTCTAACCAACTGGTTAAAATTTCCCGACGGTTCGCGGCCTGCTCGGTCCCTTGTTCACGGGCGACTTATTTGGCTGGGTGTTCGACTTTCTCTTCTTCTCCTTGTCGCTGCCGTTAAAATCGTCTTCTTCTCTTTGGGACTCCTCAAGTCCGTGAATATAGCTACTTGGGAGGGTACCGATCAACCGGTTCAGGTTGTTCTTGGTATGCTGGATATGCCAGGACTCTAAATAGAGTCGTTTGTTTCCAGTTTCTTTTGGTGTCTAGGACGGAACTGCTGTCGAAGTTGATGACGTGGTTGTTCTTTTCTGCATGTTCCGCTAGAGCGTTCGGTAAAGTTCTTGGTTTCTCCCACATATGAGGCGTTGCAGTCGGCGCAAGGAATGCGGTAAACAAGGCCTTGAGCTGTTTCTTATGGAAGACGATTTTAACGGCAGCGACAAGGAGAAGAGAAAGACGAACACCCAGCCAAATAAGTCGCCCGTGAACAAGCGACCGAGCAGTCCGCGAAACGTCGGGAAATTTAAACCAGTTGGTTAGAGTATTTCCAGTTTCTTTTCTTAATACTCACCTAACCAGGCAGATTTTGCTGAAATGTTTACTTTTCAAAAAGGTTCTGGATGCCATATTAGACCGGCTATACCTAGCGGTGCACTTGGCTATATTACATTAACTTCTATTTGAAACTTACAATGAAGAGAAACACTAGTTCACTTACTCCATACAATGCACAAGGCACTATAGAAGCAAATGTGCTTTGTATGCACCATGCTTTTTCTTTAATTCTCAAAAATTACATGAACACGAAACGTAAACGTCTTTCTGATTTTTAATCTGCAAAAAGTATGGTTACATGATTGGAGTATTGAGCTTGCGGGAAATAAAAAAAAAATATTATGTCTTTTTTTTTTCTATTGCAAAGGTCAAGCAGCGGTCTTCAAGCAGCTGTATGGAGGTGTTTTCTTTATGAAATCTCTTCCCAAATCCGAAAACGGCAAGATCCTGAGACAAGACCTGAAAACAAAGGTTGCCCATGAAATTGAAAAGTTGAAAAAATAGTTGAGCTTCTCAGACACCACAAGTTACGCGAAAACCAGCATATAACCTGAGATAAACGTGTTTCTGTATTTCCCTTGTAATAAACAAGAATAAAGAAAAATGCTCGAGTCAATTAACTGTGAGTCGGTTTCAATTAATGACTAGATATGATAAAACAAAGTTTCATTTATGGCAGTATAAAACTGTTTGCCTTTGATGAAATGTAGTATAGTGTTGGGACCATCCGGTCGGCCGCACACACGAAAAGAAGGCAAGACTATAAGAACACAGAAAAGATTTATGGAGGCCGGGCCATCACGTGAAGATTGGCGAAGGTAGTCGCGCTCGACAAATTTGCCTTCCACTTCCATTTTCCACTTCTACTTTCTAAGTGTTTAAAAGCACTAACACGCTGAAATACTATACAAGTTAAAAAATAATTTTTAAAATCTCAGGAGAGAAAAAAAACATTACAAGAACATTACTATTTTATTTTTGGCAATGATTTAACTATTGTAGCATACAAGCACAGGGATGTAATGTCGCAAAAGTAAATTTGTAATGTGTTTTTTTTACAACCTATGCGTTTCACAAACGCGACCTGTCTCTGAACATGTGTATCTAACATATTATTCAGCAGCCTCTAACTGCTCACGTTAGAAACTAGTTAACTGTTAAGAGCTTTACACCCTCGCCTTGAATTACAAATAGGGGTGTAGTTTTAAGTCTCTGTAGGAATTTTTCACATCAAGATTTCGTTTGTAAATACCCTTTACAGATCAGAAGCAGTCACCTTTTTTGTAACTTTAAAAAGAGTTTTATACATTTAAACAGGGGACGGGACGTATTGCCCCGTTCCCTGTCTTTATGTATAAAACTATTTCTAAAGTTACATCATTACCAACGCCGTTACTAACGAGGACACCTTTTGTGAAGCATCAAATGCTTTTGAACGGAGTCCCTCATTCCCGAAATGTGTCCGCAGACCCGTGCGTGCATTTTCCGCGAAAGTTAGCGTGGAAATTGACGTCACGTGACCTAACGTAACGTGAGCTAAACCTAGTTCGGAAAATTGACGTCACGCTAAATTTAGTGGGGAAATTTACGTCTCATGCGATCTAAACACCCCCCCCCCCCCCCCCCAATTTTGTTTCCCCGCTAAAACTAGCGATAGAATTGTAGTTATGTGACATATACGCCAATTTAGTTTCCCCGGGTTTGGGGATCGGGTTGTGCAGACCTCTGTCGCGGAGGCCCGCACATCGCAAAAGCAAATAAAGATAATGCAAAAAAGGAAATTCCGATTGATTGTGACTGTCTGTATTGGACGTTTTAAGATAGGATCAAAACGACCACCTCCGGTCGACATTTTTTCAAATGTTTTTACCAAAAGATATATTTTACTTGTGACACCGAAAACACATATTTGAAGTTTTTTTGCGGAAATTTCCCTTGAGGAACAAAAATCACAAAGTCTTTCCGGTATGCGCGCACGTTTTTGCGGCGGGTGAAACCGTCCCTTTGGATATCTACAAAAGGAAAACTGATGTCGCCTTAGATTTAATATTTTCTTGTGCAGAGACATGTACATAAAATAAACGGAGGTAAACATGTAATATCGCTTACAAAACAATTCAGAGCTTTATGGATTCGGATCTTAAAAGACTGGAAATTAAACTTTTTTAACATGATTTGGACGTGCTTGTTCAATATTCGCATGAATTGCCATTAAAATTGAAAACGATGACCTTTTAAAACAATACACTGAAATGTAGACAGGTCCCTGATTTTGCAATAATTGCACAATCAGTTTAATACGAAGGCCATCTTAAGTTTCCTTCAACTTTTCACAGTACAAGATTCAATATCTGTCCTATCAGGCCCTTCAGAAATGCTTTGCAATATTTTTGTATTTTTGAATTTACAGGGCGCTAAATAGACAGAATTGCCATAAAGGGAGTAGGGATAGATAGGACGTGCCGATTTCAAACGAGGGCAAGAGAGGGATCCGAAAATGTAGGAACTCTGTGAAGAAAAAGCACAGGAACAGGAGTTCGTGAAAAATAAGAATTCATACAAAAGATTACAGCTGAGTTTGAAGCACAAGTCAAGAATCCAAATACAGATTTTTCGGATCAGTGAATTTCGGAGCCTAGACGTCGTAGGGAGGCTGCACTGCTGACGACCAGGCTTAAATAGTGATAAAAAAAGAACCATCGTTAAAGTGGTACAATTGAAACGAGTTTAATGAATCAAGATCCTGTCCGTACATTTGGCGCTTGTCGCGTGTATTCTTTCTTCCGGACGCTGACTCGAGTCGGTCGTGGTGCTCTCCTGGCACTCCGATTAGGAACATTCTTTTCCCGTTTTTCCTGTAGTGATCACTGTTTGTTTCTTCTTAGTGGCACCGCAAGCTCGCGACCTCGATCTGCTTTTCACAGCCATAGAAGACTTCACTTTCAAAGATATATTTTCTGCGTCTAATGTTCTTGCTAAAACAGCTATGGTTGCGAGGAGTCGGACAGCGCACGCTGCCACAAGTGACAGGACTGAATTCCGCGCACAACAGAACCAGGGTCCCACTCCTTTGCTTTCATGTGCTTGAACGCTTTGACATCAGCTTTCGGGAGGTGCATTAGTTTCACTTTCGGCAGTTTAGCGTTCAGTGGGGCAACCGTGTCTGACGCTGGGATCCCCCACGTGGTGGGCCGTCGGAGGTTGTACAACGTTGCCTGGTGCTAGACATGACCCCCGATTCCATCGCTGGCACTCCTGCCACGTCCTGTTGCGGAAAAATTCCACTTCGCTGACGTGTACATCTTGCTCTGCACCTCGTGTAGTTGGTATTTGTTCTTAAAGCGGCTTGCTGCACCACCACTGACGTAGGTCACATGAGTATACCCAAATTGGACATCATAATTCTTCAAACCGCTGTCATATAGCGTGGATGATACAATTCAGAAACACTTTTCTGGATCAAATTCTCATTCAACGTTATCAGAATCATTTACTAAGTGTTTTGTTGACTCCGTAAGAAGTATAAAAAGTAACCTTTCGCTGATTGGTTCCAATCCTGTCACTCTACAGGTCAGATGCTCTACTTCGGCGTACTTACCTCAGATGACGGAAAGCGAACTGTTGAGGATTATAAATGCTATGCCAGTAACTAAAACACCAGGATTTGATAATATTAAAATACGAGATATTCGGTATAACTTGAATAAATTAAAACGCGTTTTAATGAAAATAAATAATGACACTTTTCATACCAGAAGAATTCCTAAGGGCTTGAAGATATCTATTATACGTCCACTGTATAAAAAGGGTAAAAACAGGAATTGGAGAGCTACAGACCGATTTCCATTCTGCCTGCATTAGCTCATACTATCGAAAAGTGGGTGCAACTAGCAATGACCAGTTTTTGTGATAAATTTAATTTATTTTCAAGCACTCAATATGGCTTTCGACAGCAAAAAGGTACTATTACACTTTTAGAAGATTTTTCCGACTATGTTAACGAAGCACTAAACAATAACAGGATAGCCCTAGCACTTTTCATAGACCTAACGAAGGCTTTTGATATCATTAATCATTCTTTGTTACTTGAAAAGCTTTACAGATTAGGTTTCAGGGGCAGTTTTATAACTTTTTTTCAGAACTACTCTAATGACAGACAACAAATGGTTAAAATTATGAATAATATGAGTAGAAGTGCTAAAGTCGAATGTGGTGTACCACAAGGTAGCACTCTGGGACCAATTTTATTTAAAGTTTACATAAATGATTTGGGTATTCTACCAATACAAGCTAAGCTATTTCGGTTTGCTGACGATACGGTGCTACTTTTACCCTATGAAAACTTTGATGATGCTGTTTTAGTCTTCCAAAGAAATATAGATGCACTAATAGGTTGGTTTAACTCAAATGCCATTTCAGTATATTTTGCCAAAACTAAGTTACTGTGTTTCTAAAATTCTCATAAACGTGTTGATATGTCACCTAGAATTAGAATTTTACTTCATTCGACACCGTGTAAAAATTGTACTTGTAAGCCTTTTGCTATACGATAATTGTGTAAAATGTCTAGGATTATACGTGGACGAACATTTATCATGGAATCAACATGTGGAATTCGTGACTAAAAGACTACGTGCCGTTTCAGCATATTTGTACAGAATAAAAAGCTTGTGCAGCGTAAAGATAAGATTACTGTTGTACAGGTCGTTATCTGAGACTATTCTACAATAGGGAATCACTTCACATCGGCACTGTTCTCCATGCAAGACAAATGCATTAGACAGAATTTTAAAACATATGGTGAAAAACATTACATGCGGAACTCCGTTCGGAACATTAGATATGAAAGATAAAGCAAAAAAGCTCCAAATTTTATTTTTCATACATTTTCTTAGATATGTTACGTTTATAAATTATTTCTATGATTCTACTTTCAAGGTTCCAGTGGACAAGCCTAGGCACTCGAGGCGTAAAGAAAGGTTTAAAATCCCCAAAATTTACACGCGATACGGAAAAAGGTGAAAAAATCACTTTATTCCCACTTTATTTAATGAGCTTACTGAGCCTGTAATGAAAGTAAATTCGATAAAAGTACTAAAAAAAGAAATAAAAAATTGGTGGCTCACATTACCTGCATAAACACTGCTTTCCTCTCATCCCTGTATACTTGCCCCATAATGATTTCAATAGTTGTGTTCATTTTGTTGTGTGCCGAATTTGGGCTCTGTCCTGTAATAATGTTGGAATTGATAGCCACATTACACACTCGTTCGATTTTCTTGTATCATGCTGCATTGATATGTATTTCGTTGGATTGCCTGGTCCTACGCACAAGGAGAATACTGCTTTTGTAGGCCAGCATTATTTATACAGTAAAACCTCGTTATAACAAAGTTGAAGGAGCGGTCGTAATTATATCGTTATAACCATTAGCTTGTTACAGCCAATGTCGATTTCTTCCCGCTATTATCAAGCAAGGGGGGGAATTATGATCGCTTTGTTATATCCATTGGTTTGTTATACCATCATGTTATAACGAGGTTTTACTTATGCATTTGTAAAATGAATAAAA